GTTTAGATTCAGCATTTGAAAGAACCCTATATATATTTAATTTATGTTGAAATGAAACGCAGTTTAATGTTATCCATATACTTACTTATTCATTTTCTGTTCAAAGGGAAATACCTCAAACTGAATAAATGATAAAAAAAAATATTTCTCTAAAAGTAGATATGATTTAACCACTGAAAAATAGTTCTCTAAAATTAGATATGAAGTTATATAGTTTCAAATTATAATCAATAAAATTAGATATGATTTAACCACTAAAACATTGTTAGAATCAGCATATCAAAGAACCCCAAGAATTCAATTTTTGATGAAATTAAACCAAAATCAGAAATCTAAATATATGTTTATTAATAGAAAATATAAACTTAGTTTTTAAAGGAGTTCAGAATAAACAAACCTACCACAAAATTCTTCAAACAATTTACAAAAGAAAAGAAGAAAAAAATTCAAAATGTCTTTTATCATTAATACAATGTTTTTTAAAAATCTATAAAACTTATCCGTAAGTGTAATCAAACTTTATATATATAATTAACCATTTCTGTTCAAAGGGAAATGACTCAATCACATAATAAGTACCACTTTTGACTATTGGAAAAGGATATAACTCAACAAAGAGAAAAGCTAAAATCCTAAAAATTGAACTTGACCTTTATTTAGTCACAGGAAACAACATATCTAAATTTGAAAAAATTTCGTCAAAGTGTTTTCATGTTTGGCAGCCGCCCAATAGCCCGCCCGCCGGCCGTACATCCCCAAGTCAATAACCGATTTTTCCTTAAAAAATCCGGTTAAAAACAGCATACCAAATACCATTGCCTTATCATAAGTGGTTCCCTTTAAACAAGCCTTAACACAACCTATACAAAAGTTTCAGTCAATGAACCATGATGATGGGCGTGGCCATATAATCTCCATGGAAAAAAAAGACTTGCAAATGCTAATACAAGTAGATACAAAATATTTTTGACTTGTGTTAAATGACAATGCTTATAAATCTGCATATCAAATACCATTGACTTATCATAAGTGGTTTCAATTAAACTTACCTAAAACTTGTAAAGAAACTGCTGACTCAAAGATATGTCTTCCCTTTATGTAATTTTGATAGTATAATACAAATGTTAAAATTAAAACGTCAATACTTTAACCAATTAACTACGCAAAACATTCGAAGTCACCAACTTTAACATGTAGACTATGCAAAACATTAAAAGTGAATAGACTATGACTGAGGGGGTGGGGGAAAATTATCTCTATGGAAATGAGATGTGCAAATGCAAGTACAGTAAAACCTGTATAAACTGACCGGCTATAGGACTATGAAAAAGGGCCGGTTTGGATAGTGGGTCTGTTTATTCAGGTTTCCATTTTGACAGGAAGTTATTGACTTGTGACGTCAGATATTTTGCATGTAAAAGTTCTGTCTCATTGTAAATTGTAAACTAAAAAACCCATAAACTCGACAATGGAATGTCGTCATCCGGGTCTTCTTCATTATCAGGGTCATTGGTTTCGGGGGTTCACATCAGGGAACCCAGCATTTCGAAAACACGATGTAAATTTCTAACTCATCGATTTGAAAAAAAAAATGTAAAAGTTAAAACGTAAGTTCTATCCTAGATATATTCAGCATTTTTTTCAGTTTCTATTAATTAAAACTTAATGGTGTTTAAATAATAAAGCTCACTACTGTAAGTTCACGGTAAGCTAATTGATTATCATGAAAAATCATCTTGTATAAACAATTGTTTTGATTGTATATTGATCAATACTGTTATCAAGTTAAATTAATTAAACAAACCGGTTTTGACAGGTAATAATTGATGTAATTAAGAGTATTGGGACTGCATTATTAGACCAGAATTGGAATACACAGGATCCGGTTTTATGGGGGTATTTTTACAAAGACTTTGAAGGGGAAAAAATGGGACTTCAATTTTGTCCGGAATGTACAGGAAACCAGTTTATTCAGTGTCAAGTTTACCCAGGTTTGACTGTACATCTGCATAACAAATATCATTGACCGTCCAATAGTTGTTCCTTGATTTTTCTACTTCTTCAAACGAGACAAAAAAGCTTCTCCCCAGTTTCATAAAATTTTAAGAAGGTTTGAAGAGGTAACTGATGTCTAACAAACTTTAAATCAGACTGTATCAACAAGTAAACTGCAAAAAAAAAATTAAAAAATGAGAAGCTCCTAAGAGCCTGAAGCACTTATAAGAAGAAATAATAGGCCAAAACTCTGTAAAGTTAGTAGAAATAAATGTGGATAGTGTCCACATGTGGACACAGATGATGCCCCCGCTTGCATATCATATAGTTATAAAGGGACATAACTGAAGAACGGTAAAAGTGACGCTAACCAAATTTGAACTTGATTTGATAACAGGTAATAAGCATTGTGTATAAGTTTCATAACATTTGGTTGAGGCAAACTCAAGTTAGAGAACGGAAACCAATTTTGGGACGTATGTACGTACAGACGGACAAGGGTAAAACTTAATGCCCCCACCGCTACGGCGGGGGCATAAAAATGTCATTTATAAGAAGTGAGCCAATGGTTTCACTTGTATAGCTGATCAATTTTGAAGTTCACAGTTTCTACATATCTATTATTAGTTATCAAGTTTATAGGCAATATCTCATAAATTAGTAAAAAATAATCGTCATTTAAGGGCAATCACTCCTACAAGGAGTCATCCAATGAGTTAAGACATTCTGGCATATTTAATGATCTTGTATTGCTGATCATTTTTGCCATTTAAAGTTTATACCAATCTATGATAGTTTGACTCAAACAATACCTAAGCTGGTTCTTGGCTGACCAACACACTTTGAGGCTTGAGCATAGCGTTAATACAAGCGGATTCCAGTTAAACCAATACTGGAAGTTTGACAGACCAAGGGACACACCTCTTGTTTAGCATGGTATGGATAAAATAAATCCAGATAAGTATGGGCCAGTGTTCGATATTCCGATCTGAGATCGAAGTATCTGTATGTAATTGCCTTTTACTATTATAATAAAATAATGTTTTTTTGTCTCTGTTAATTCTTTGTACAATTTTTCCTATGGTTTTCGGCTGAGAGAATAATTTCTGACATTGTTTCAAAGGCATTTGTAAATAAATGGAGAATGTGTCCATGGGATGAACACAGATGATGCTTGCATATAACTTTATAAAGGGGCATAACTCGAGAAAGGTAAAACTGATGCTACCCAAATTCAAACTTGATCTATATTTTGTGGTAATTATAAGCATTGTGTATAAGTTTCATAACATTTGGTTGAGGAAAACTAAAGTTAGAGAATGGAAACCAATTTTTGGACTTACGTAGGGACGGACAAAGGTAACACTTAATGACCCCTCCCGTGAAAATTCAAATTTCTTTTCGTTTTGTTTTATTTCAATTTTTTTCCACAAATGAATACAAAAGATTAAAAACGCCATTTGAGTAGTTTCTATTTGCTGACTTAATCCTCACTTTATGCACAATCAAGCTCTTTAATGTATGATTACAATTAATTAATTATAAAAATTTTTAAATAATTTTTCATAATCTATAACAATGTATCGCTAACTTTTTATTAAGACGATCAAAGAAAATCTTAGGTAAACACTTGCAGGAAAAGAATGTCAAAAATGAATACAGTGGTCAACGACCAGAAATTTAATTAAAAGTATATTGTCAGATAAACTCATAAATCCATTTAAATCTTCAGAGGTCATGTTTTGACATGTGTATTGGTTGACACAACAAATGCAATTTAAATACTTTTGTTAACCTTGGGTTCATAAATTTGGTTCGACATAATGTTCTACCATTTCAATATTGTACAATATCCAAATTCATATGCACTGACAGCACATACAGAATTAAAAAAAAATAATTCATTTGATAACCAGAGTGCACACGCTGAAATGTCTCGCCTACTATACTGACCATTGATTTTATATTGATAGTCCTACATATAAAGTTTTACTACAAGTATCACATTAACATTTATGATCCAAGAAAATGAGGTCAAGGTCAGATAAACCAAGCCGGAAATACATGTACACCTTTAATACAATCCCTCCATACACAGAATATAGATGACCTATTGCTTATAGTATAAAAGAAACAGACCAAACCATGGAAATTCTATATTGACCAATGAACCATGAAAATGAAGTCAAGGTCATTTGAACCCTGTTATTAATTATATGTGATTGATTGATTGTTGCTTGTTGTACGTCCAGTGCCCATAATAAGTGAGAAATTCATATCACAAAAAAGTTATATAGTTTTTAAGCAGTCACTGAACCATGAAAAGAGGTCAAGGACACTACACATATGACAGATGGGAACTTGGTAACATAAGACATCTGTATACAAACTATGAAACATCCAGATCTTCTACATTCTAAAATATAAAGCTTTATTCAAATAGTTAACAACTCTGTCCATGCAGGATCACTTCCCTATATCTCCAATTCTGTGACTTTCATAGCAGGAGAGAAAAAAATAGTTCAAATTATCTTATCTGTAAAGCTTTTCCTGATGATCATTTTTGCTATTTTAAGGATCTCTCTATCTATACTCAGCAACACAAATAACACACCGCTTCTTTGCTGAAACTTTCCAATGCTTTAGTATATTCTAAAGTTTAAGGGTTGAACATGTGGCTTTTTAAGGAAATATCAATTTTCACAAAATCTGATGTTGATGAATTAAGAAATATTGCATCAAAATGTTGACTCATTTCAATTAGTATTCAAAAAGTTGAATGCAATAATAGGCATACTTGCATTTTACCTGTTATGTTCTTTTTTTTAGCTTTGGCAGCCATGTTGGTTGGCAGGTGGGATCATTGGACACATTTTTAAACTAGATACCCCATGGATGATTTTGCCAAGTTTGACCCTGAAGTTTCAAAAGGGGATCCCTGCTCAACAAATTTGATTATCTCCCCTTAACCAACGTTCATAAACTATTGGTCTGAAAAAACCTACTGAGCTTTTTCAAGAAAACTAATCCTTCCAACACAAGTAGAGAAACAGTAATTGTAAGCAATCATGATGGATGGATATAGTGATTGAAAATCAAGTACAACAACAGGATCATGGTAAAATCTGGATTCTGGTTCCAATGTTAAAGGTATACACTCTGGTGCTCTCATTCTAGCTCGCTGGTGCACACTTGGTGAGACTGAGATAAAATTCATTGGTTTAGCCAGTCGTAACATCATTGATTCAACTCGGTACTGAAATATATAAAGTTAATATGTATTACTGAAAAATTATTACACCAGAGTTTTCGATATCATAAACTAGTCAAAACATTTACAAAATTTTATCATCGGTACAAGGACATCATTCGTAAATATAACTCAACATGCAGACATCTTATACGTTCGGGTATTTCACATCCAATCTTTTATGGTAATATTCTTTACAAAGCACAAAAATGTCAGTATTCACCTCAAAAGCTAACAAAACCTTTAAACAGACTTATTAAGAAGGGATATAGTTACGATGCTGTTGTCAGGTCATTAAAGATTGCATATTTTGGCTTTAATATTGATTCACTTATGGGGTCTTTGCATCGGAATCAAACACATTTATTCTAAAACCAGTTGTTGGCATGACACATATATTTTATGACGGTATAATACTAAACCCCTTACAGGAGGGATTGTGCCTGATATTCATATGATGAAGACATAATCTTTCAATCAGTTTAATTGAGGTCTGAAGCTGGCATGTCAGTAACTGCTAGTAGTCTGTTGTTATTTATGTATTATTGTCATTTTGTTTATTTTCTTTTGTTTCCTATTCTGACATCGGACTCGGACTTCTCTTATACTGAGTTTTACTGTGCGTACTGTTGTGCGTTTGTTTTTACTACATTGGCTAGAGGTATAGGGGGAGGGTTGAGATCTCAAAAAACATGTTTAACCCTGTTGCATTTTTGCGCCTGTCCCAAGTCAGGAGCCTATGGCCTTTGTTAGTCTTGTATTATTTTTAATTTTAGTTTCCTGTGTATAATTTGGAGTTTTGTATGACGTCCATTATCACTGAACTAGTATACATATTTGTTTAGGGGCCAGCTGAAGGACGCCTCCGGGTGCGGGAGTTTCTCGCTGCATTGAAGACCCATTGGTGGCCTTCGGCTGTTGTCTGCTCTATGGTCGGGTCGTTGTCTCTTTGACACATTCCCCATTTCCATTCTCAATTTTATATACAATTTCACTGTTTGTTTGTACATTTAATTTGAAGGATTATTTGTAAAAGAAGTGTTTGGCACCAGCAAACATGTTTAACTTAGCCACATTCTTTATGTGCATGTCCCAAGTCAGGACCCTGTAGTTCAGTGGTTGTTGTTGGTTCATATCTGTCGTATTTGTTTTTCGTAAATTGTTTTGTTATAAAACAGCCTGTTAGTTTTCTCAATTGTATTGTTTCATATTTTTCATGTCAGGGCCTTTTATAGCTGACTATACAGTGTGGGTTTTTCTCATTGTTGAAGGCTGTACTGTTACCTATAACTGCTTACATTCACTTCAATTGAATTTAGGTGGATAGCTGTCTCATTGGCAATCGTACCACATCTTGTACCACATCTCCTTATTTTTTTTTATCATTTTGGAATTTTGTAACCAAAAAAAAGTGCTTAATTTTGGCAAAAGCAATCTGTACAAATAGTATAAATGAAGACACAGATGCAAAGGTTATTACAATACATTACCAATAAACATATGAGTTAATATCGGTTATTATAATTTAATAATTGACTGAGCTTCAATAACCATTTGTGCTTCTGTGAAGAGCAGATAGAAGGCAATTCAATAAAGATGTAAAAACTTTAGTCATTAACTGATTGCAAAGAACAGAATTTTCAGAGAACTTAAAACTTTGTTTTTAAAAAGAGTGGTTGGATTGCATTTCACTGGGGAAATCTATGTGTGGTCATATTTGTTTTTGTTTATTTTCATAAGTCAGGGGTCTACTTAATATTTTCAAGATCCATGAAAATAAGGACAAAATAATATAAACCCTGCCAAACAGACAGGAACATCTTAAAATAACTCCATACACAAAATATAGTTCTCCTACTAACTGCTTAATTAATGTATCTAAAAACAAGTGTAAACAGAAAATACTCAACAATGACCACTGAACCATGAAAATGACTTCAAAGTTAGATGAACTTTGTCAGACAGACATGTACAATTTACAATTACACCATACACCATAATATGGTCCACTCTTTTAGTATCAGATAAATGTACCAAATCAACAAAACTTAACATTGATCAATGGACCATGAAAAGAGGTCAAAGTTCAGTTGAACCCAGTTATAGGGACATCTACACCTCACAATCATTCCATACACCAATTCTATTTCACCTATTGCTTATAGTATCTTAGACCTAATAACACAAACTTAACATTGACTAATGAACCATGAAAATGAGGTCAAGGTCAGAGGAATCCTGCCAGACAAACAAAAAGTATGTTTTATTCTTTAAATGTCTTTATTGTAAAAAAAAGTAAATGATAATAAAGGGGGTAGACCTGGGGTATGGGAGACAACTCTTACAAAGGTATTGGAAGTCACTTGTGCTTTTTAACCTAGCTGTAATTGTAACAGTGATCAAGCATTTATGTTGTTTATGCTTGGTTATGAGAATGAAGCAGGAACATCTATGAAAATTGGACAAGGTTGACTCTATCAAGCATTAAAATAAGGAATTACATTTTTTTTTCAAGATTCAAATTTCAAAAGCTGAAAAGTTAGAAAATTAACATTAATACAATGATATGAAAAAAATACTGTTAACACAGAGATATGTCTCTCCTTTTTATTATTTTGATAGTAAAACGCAAATGTTGAAATTAAAATAGCAATACTTAAACATGTAAGTTATGCAAAATATTCAAAGTCAATGAACCATGACTAAAGGTACATGACCAAACAATCTCCATGGGAATAAGATGTGCCAATGCTAATACAACTGCAAACCATATATCAATTACCTCCACTATAGGTTCCCCATAAACTGACCTAATCACAAACTTCTAAATTAAGCAAAAGTTTTAAAGTCAATAGACCATGACTGAGGGGGAGGGCCAAATAAAACATTCAGGTCACAAATATTACCATGATATTTTAGATTTACTCTAAAATATGTTTCTACTACACATTTTAAAAGTCATTGTTATTCTTAATAAGAACATGTGCAAAAACACACAATAATATATGCCTACTAGTGTTTTCGACCGTTTTTTAGGGTACCCCAAAATTGATCATATTCAATATACCATAAACATAAAATGCAACAGTGAATTTCAACAAGACCTTGGCAGATGATTAATGGATCCCTACCCTTTCAATGGTGTAAATATAAGAAAAATTAAACGAGAGGAAAATTTTGGGGTTACCAAGGCCTACCCGCTTAAATCATGTAGTTGTTGTAATACATCAAATGTTATTTTAGTACTTTCAGTTCCATAGTGATTTTTTTTTGTCATTTGTAATCTTCTTCCATCAATATATCACCACCCTCCTATATTGCCAAATAACTCTAGAACAGTTGTGTATAAGTTTTATAACATTTGGTTGAGACAAACTAAAGTCTGAGAACGGAAACGAAAAATTCAGCAATTTTTATGTTTATAAAGGGACATAACTCAAGAATGGTAAAAGTGTCGCCACCAAATTTCGTACTTAATCTGTATTATGTAGTAATAAGCATTGTGTATAAGTTTCATAACATTTGGTTGAGGCAAACTAAAGTTAGAAAACGGAAACAAAAAATTTGTACTTGATCTTAGTTTTGTGGTAACTAGATATCATTGAGATGGGAGCCATCTCTGTGGGCCCGGCTGTGAATAATGTGTGGTAAAAAATTTGTATCTTTATCATTGGACATGGGGTTGTCAACTGAAACCAAAGTTTTTTACCTTGACCTTTGACCTAGGAAGTTGTACATAAATTATGACACACCCTCTGGTGTTGGTTTATATACATGGCAAGTATAAACTTTGAAATCATAACGGTTCTCAAGATATAGAGCGGACACGATCTTTACCATAGGACATGGGGTTGTCAACTAAAACCAAAGTTTTTGACCTTGACCTTTGACCTAGGAAGTTGTACATACATTATGACACACCCTCTGGTGTTCGTTTATATACATGGCAAGTATAAACTTTGAAATCATAACGGTTCTCAAGATATAGAGCGGACACGATCTTTACCATAGGACATGGGGTTGTCAACTAAAACCAAAGTTTTTGACCTTGACCTTTGACCTAGGAAGTTGTACATACATTATGACACACCCTCTGATGTTGGTTAATATACATGTCAAGTATAAACTTTGAAATCATAATGGTTCTCTAGATATAGAGCGGACACAATTGGTTACGGACAGACAGATGGACTGACGGACTGACAGTCTGACGGATGGATGGATGGATGGACAAACGGACGGACGGACTGACAGACGGACTGACAGATGGACAGACAGACTGATCACTATAGGGCGGCCGCCATTCGGGGGGGGCCCTAATGAATATTGTGTATAGGTTTCATAATGTTTGGTTGAGGCAAACTTAAGTTACAGAATGGAAACTAAAAATTTTGCAATCTTACGATTTATAAAGGGGCATAACTCAATCATGGTTAAAGTGACACTATCCAAATTCAACTTGATCTGTGTTTTATCAGTGGAAGTCAAAATTAAACATTGCATTGTAAAAAGCATGGATTGTAGTTGATTCAACTATAATCATGGACAAAGGAAGATAACTCCAATTTTAAAAATAACTTGATATTAAGAAGAAAATAAAAATTTTGCAATTTTTCCATTTATAAAGGGGCATAACTCTAGAACGTTTAAAGTGATGCCACCAAAATTCGAACTTGATCTGTGTTTTGTGGTAATAAGCATTGTGTATAAGTTTCGTAACATTTGATTGAGGCAAACTTAAGCTAGAGAACGGAAACTAAAAATTTTGCAATTTTTCCATTTATAAAGGGACATTTCTCTAGAATGGTTAAAGTGACGCTACCAAAATTCAAACTTGATCTGTGTTTTCTGGTAATAAGCATTGTGTATAAGTTTCATAACATTTGGTTGAGGCAAACGTAAGTTAGAGAACGGAAACTAAATTGTTTTTCATTTTTTCCATTTATAAAGGAGCATAACTCTAGAATGGTTAAAGTGACGCCACCAAAATTCAAACTTGATCTGTGTTTTGTGGTAATAAGCATTGTGTATAATTTCATAACAATTGGTTGAGGCAAATTCAAGTTAGAGAACGGAAACCAATTATGGGACGTACAGACAGACAAGGGTAAAACTTAATGCCCCCACTGCTACGGCGGGTCATAAAAAATTGCCTGGTTCAAACAGTTGCAGTTTTACGAGTGAGCACTGTAGTCTTAGTATATATAATAGTGTGGTTACAAATCAAGGAATGTATATAAACTCATCATAGATACAGGATTAAAATTTTGTAAGCCAGACACACATTTTATCTACAAAAGACTCATCAGTGAAGCTCGAATCAACGTTAAAAAGGCCAAACAAAGTACAAGTTGAATGTTCTTATTCAGGGTATATTTTGGTTGAAATTGAACAATAATTATGAAGAAATATTTAATTCATATACACATATGTACTTACCATGCCTTTAGATGTTAAATAAAATGTTCAGCTGGGGCGCAGCTTGATACGACCGCAGAGATCGAACCCTGAACAGTTGGGGCAAGTATGGACACAACATTCAAGCTTGATACAGCACTGAATTTGGATTGTAATTAAATATTTGACACAGCATAGGTTTCTCACACAGAATGAAAGTGGTCTAAGAACTTAAATTTTTTTAATTTACCTATTCAAACCATATCATTATTATTTGCTTTTATATATAAATCAGAAATAACCAATTTAAAATGGAAAATTTTAAAGAAAAAAAAGGAAAAAAAAATCCCCCCCCAATTTTTTGAACCCCCTTATGATTCATCATCCCCAAACTCAATCCCAGCTTTCCCTTTGTGGTATGGTACCTTGCAGTACAATTTCAGAGAGATCCATACACTTGAACACAAGTTATTGTCTGGAAACTAGAAAAATGCTTGTTTTTTGGCCCCAAATTCCTAAACGTTTAGGGCAATTACCCCCAAACTCAAACCCAGCTTTCCCTTTGTGATATGGAACTTTGCAGTACAATTTCATAAAGATCCATACACTTACACACAAGTTATTGTCCTGAAACTAGAAAAATACTTGTTTTTTTTGCCCTTTTATGGCCCCTAATTACTAAAATTTTGAGGGAATTACCCCCAAAATCAATCTCAGCCTTCCCTTTGTGATATGGTACCTTGCAGTACAATTTCAGAGAGATCCATACATATGAACACAAGTTATTGTCTGGAAACTAGAAAAATGCTTATTTTTGGCCCCTTATTCCTAAACTTTTTGGGCAATTACCCCCAAACTCAATTCCAGCTTTCCCTTTGTGATATGGAACCTTGTAGTACAATTTCATAAAGATCCATACACTTACACACAAGTTATTGTCATGAAACTAGAAAAATGCTAGTTTTTTGCCCCTTTTTGGCCCCTAATTCCTAAAATTTGGAGGCAATTACCCCCAAAATCAATCCCAGCATTCCCTTTGTGATATGGAACCTTGTGATACAATGTCAGAGAGATCCATACACTTACACACAAGTTATTGTCATGATACTAGAAAAATGCTTGTTTTTTGCCCCTTTTTTGCCCCTAATTCCTAAAATTTGGAGGCAATTACCCCCTAAATCAATCCCAGCATTCCCTTTGTGATATGAAACCTTGTGGTACAATGTCAGAGAGATCCATACACTAACACACAAGTTATGTCTGGAAGTTACAAAAATGCTTATATTTGCCTTTAAAACATTCTCTTTATCTTTCATAGTTTCTGCAAACAACTAAACAAATGGTAAAAATCATCTTCCAAGGGCAATTCTTCTGAAAATTTCCTCACTTATAGATCTTGACCTGCTGATAATTTTTCTATTTTTAGCCATGGTGGTCATGTTTGTTGAATGACCGGAATAAAAAATATAAACTTCACAATAGATACCATAAGGATCGTTCAACCAAAGTTTGGTTGAAATTGGTTCATTAGTTTCAGAGGTGAATTTCTTAGAAAAAGTGTACGACAACGACGTACGCAAAGTAATGGCAATAGCTCACCTGGCCGGAGCTAAAACTTTAAACTTCATAATGTTTGTAACAAATGAAATGCATCTCCAACCTACCTGTGATCCTCTGGAAAGAACATGATAAAACTCTATTCCAAATACTCTGGCAAATTCACTAGTACGACCAACAAGATCAATCTGTTCCATTATCTGTAAGTTAGCTCTTACTCTGGTGATAAAATAATTCATCACTCTCCATCTAATAATATATGTGCTTACCAATTAAACAGGTCATTCAGAACCAAGACACATTTGTCAATTACATTGTTATTTACTGTTCAGTTATTACTAACAATCTTGTCAGGTCCTTTTATAGCCAACTATATATAGTATGGATTTTGCTCATTGTTGAAGGCCATATGGTTGCCTATAATTGCTTACATCCACTTCATTTGAACGTTAGTGTAAACAAAATTTATTAATTAAATTCAAGTTAAATAATGTACACAATTTGGCATTTACATATTAATACAATTGAATAATTAATAGGATCATAAAAAATTAAATAATTAATAAGATCATTTGAACTTTGGTGGATACTTGTCTTATTGGAAAACATACCACATCTCCTTATTTTGATAATAACTGAAAAGATAATCTCACAAAGAAAACTTATTTTTTACCTCTGCCATGGATCAATACATATATGGACAAAAGCTCAGATTATAAAACCTTATAAACGGGTTTATCTATAACTAGCATAAAAAACATGGGCGCATCCATTAACCTCTCATGTGACCGATCGGCCATTACGATTGTGAAAAATAAAGGACGTGCATAATCAAAACATTATCAATTTTTTGTTTACATTTGCATTTCTTTCATTTTCTGATTTATTTTATTATGGATAGTGTCGGTAATTATAAACTAGAGGCTCTCAAGAGCCTGTGTCGCTCACCTATATTTACTGATGCTTTGGAAATCATGTAAAATAAGGTTAAAATCATAATTAATAGTATTAGATATTAGATATTATAATGATATCTAAGATAATAACAAACTAGAGGCTCTAAAGAGCCTGTGTCGCTCACCTTGGTCTATGTGCATATTAAACAAAGGACACAGATGGCATACATGTGATTCTTCCGGCGGGAGTCAAAATCTCCCGCTTTTCAGACCCTCTTCCGTCCCTCCCGTTAAAATTTGAAATCTTCCGCTTTTTGAAAATGTCAACCTCGTAAAATTTTCATTAGACATTTTTGTTTACAAAATCGATACGGACAGAGAAAAAGTCCGAGAAACTCGAAATCGATATGGGAAAAGTCCGAGAAAAATGGAAGTTTCCTGTAATTTTGTGTCAAAAGTTAAAATAGGTAAAATTAGCCTGAGGTGTTTAGGATTAAACTGTATATACAACAATAAATAAAAGATAATAGGCAATTACCTAGTGATCAACTGGTGTCATCCTGGTTTGCCCACTTTTAATTACATGCATATGTAAACATAGGGGGGATTGTTGTTTTAACAATTATAGTTTATTTCTGAATTATAGTTATATTTTTTGCCTTTTATTTTACCTGTAAAATTTTATGAAAGATAATATATTCTGCTATTAAAGCAAGGAAAATGTGCAAAAATATTTTATATTTGATATAATTTTTAGCAGGAAAATATATTGAATTTGACAACAAAACAAATTCTAAAAATGTGTACAAAAATGTGAATTAAATTTTAGCATTTGTCAACAAATAGTTTTAATTATTGGTACATTCTGAAATTTTTTTAAAGTAAAATAATGAAACTAAGAAAAGATTAGAATAAATGTCATTTGAATTTCTTTTTATTTATTCAACTTATTCTTTTTTTAAATTTTGATAAATACACTGTTCTGAAATTTAATATAAAAAATATCCTATCAATTCTAACAAATAGAATATAAAATGCAACTGATCAGTAGCCAAGCTTTGTATATGACACCATTTGAACAGTATTAACTCTTATAATTTCCACCCCACCTAGTTGAGGATGTTTGGCTAACAACTTTAGAATACATAGGTGAAGCTGACAACATACCCGTAACAACATCATTTACTGATTACGTGACAAGAGTTCTGGGTTGAAGAATACCACTTTCTATGGAACTACTACTACACAGAAGGACCACGCATCACCTGGACGGATGGCACAACAAAATCAAGAAGAGACTCCAACATGCCCACCCTTACATCTATGAGATCATTGAGGTTTTGAAGAAGACCCATGCACTAACAGAATGTAATATTATCCAGTATGCAGCAGGAGGAGCCCGCCCACCAAAAAGACGAAGATACAGAGTGATAGACTCCAACTACTGAAAGACAGATACCAACAAGGACTCATCAACTACTCTGACGCAACATCCCACCTTCTCAATTTAAACTGAACAACTTAGTGAAATATTGTAATTTGTGACTTTGTAAATTTAATGTTTTGTGACTTTTGATACATATATATAAAATATTGTATTTCCAAACATTATACATATAGTGCCCCATACTACTTATTTTGACATGTGCTTTATTATTACCTTAATATGCAATGCATTTATAAACTTGATTCATATATATTATATATATTGGTGTATTTATATCATGAAAATCATTCAGAAACTAATGAATTATTAAGACACTTTTATTACTGAATGTCATTGTTTTGTCAATAGTTGTACATGTAAGTTAAATGAATCCATTGAATTGATATTAAATTATTGAGAAAAAAATGTTTAATTTAATTGTTATTTTTCTATACGGATGAAAATGGAAGTACAAAATAAAAAATACCTGAATATATAGAAAACACTAATAAACTATATTCCTAAGTTGGAACAGACTATACAATTGTATGTTCATTAAACCTTTTGTCTTTTTTGTTTTCTTTACTAATAGATAATTGGTATAATTAAAAGTGGGCAAACCAGGAGTAAACCGATCAACTAGCTAGTTTAAGACACAAGCTAGGTTGATTAAAAGTAAAATACTGACAAAGGATTAAATTGTACAAGTTGTATAAACAACGATTTAATTTGATGCTGTTGAAAACATGGAACATTTACTGAACCTCAAAGACAAATGAAATCAACTCAAATATGATATTTATGGCTTGTTTTCTATCCAAGCCAATGGAATACCTATATAAGTACAGTTGTCTTGGACTATTCTAAAATTTTAGAATTTGACAAAATGCAAACTGTATTTTTTTATCACCAAATACCCCAGCAGCAAATAAAAGAAGATCAAGTATCTAGCCAAATTCAACTCTGCCTGGAGATCTGATTTCAAATGATGCAAATCCAGTACCAAGGGTCAAGACCATGCTTACTACACTTCATGCAAAGCTGACTGTGGTGGCCCTAATGATTTGACCAAACTTATGGGGACAGCTACCCACCAGCAAGCCTACAACTCTATCAATTTAACACCTTCTGTTACAAGCATGATCAGTAGTGGTACCAAAGTTGACAATGTAGCTAAATCAGGGGTACTTTTGCCAACTCTGTATGATGGCTGATCGCTTTATCTTAAATTATATATAATGAATAAATATTTGAAAACCCCTTATCATCTATTTTTATCAAGTAAAAATGGATATGGAGTTGTTGAAAGGTATGGAATTATTGTTCTTTTAACAAACAAAAAAAGAAGATATGCAGTTTAAACACACTAAAAAACCATTGCGTACGTCGATAAATAGGTCGATAAAAAATCTCCAGTTATGAAGCCCAAACTCCAGCTGAAAATTTCCAAATCTCCAGTTGTGGCTTGACAACTCTGTCACATGTCTGAGATGGATTCATGACAGAATTGTGTTTTGGTGATGGTGATGTGTTTGTAGATCTTACTTTACTGAACATTCTTGATGCTTACAATTATCTCTATCTATAATGAACTTGGCCCAGTAGTTTCAGTTGAAATTATTTTGTAAAAATTTACAAAATTTATGAAAATTGTTAAAAATTGATTATAAAGGGCAATAACTCCTTAAGGGGTCAATTGACCATTTTGGTCATGTTGACTTATTTGTAGGCCTTACTTTGCTGTACATTATTGCAGTTTACAGTTTATCTCTATCTATAATAATATTCAAGATAATAACCAAAAGCTTCAAAATTTTCTTAAAATTACCAATTCAGGGGCAGCAACCCAACAATGTGTTGCCTCATTGGTCTGAAAATTTCAGGGCAGATAGATCTTGACCTGATAATCAGTTTTACCCTATGTCAGATTTACTCTAAATGCTTTGGTTTCAGAGATATAAGCCAAAATCTACATTTTACCCCTATGTTCTATTTTTAGCCATGTCGGCCATCTTGGTTCGCGGGCGGGGTCATCGGACACATTTTTAAAACTATATACCCTAATGATGATTGTGTAAAAGTTTGGTTAAATTTGTCCTAGTAGTTTCAGAGGAGAAGATTCTACAAACCAGTAAAAGTCTGAAATGGCCTATATTTGTACTCGACTGAACTGATTTTTACTCGACCAGTCTGAATTGGTCTGAAATTTACTTGATATTACTCGACTAGTCTGAACCATACTAAAAAGTCTGAACTTGTACTCGACCTTTACTCGACCAGTACTTAACCATTTTATACGAGTCTGAACCATACTCGACATAGTCTTAACCATTCTCGACCAAGTCTGAACCATGCTCGACCTAGTCTGAATCATACTCGACCTAGTCTGAACCATACTCCACCAAGTCTTAACCAACCTAGACCTATTTTTTGTATCTATCTATATTATTTTTTCATTATTTAGGAACTGTTATTCATATATATATATATATATATATATATAAAATGTATATCACATTTAAAATTAAAATAAAACAAGGTGATCAAATTTCTGGTTGGATTAAAAAAATATCATGTAATAAATTAAGTTCGTTAAATGAATTTTCATATACATGATATCATGTTCACATTGATTTATGCATCAAAAATACTATAACTTTCAACCTTTATTCAAATATCTTAAATGTTATTCATTTTTTTTTTATCAAAATATATATAAAATAGTATATAAAGCAACTTAATAAATGTTAGAATTGACACCTTTGTTTTGTAAAAATCAAAAATTTAATATAATAATAATAATAAAACTTTCATCTTTTTATCCTTGATAACCTTTTAAAAAAGGAAATGTATTCCAAAGTTGCAGTAGAAATTTATTTTAATTAAATTTAAATAAGTTTTGTCAAAATTAAAGACATGGCATACAA